GTTCTCACATGCTAGAAAAACGCGGCATTAAGCCGTAAAGAGCAGGACAAAATACACACACACCCAAACATAGATTACAAAATCCTCATATCCCTGTCAATTAGCTGAGCCTCTTCCCACTTACTGCTTTCCAGAGCCCTGCCACCAGCCTCACAACAGCAGAGCTCCAACTGCGCCAGGGAATCCACTTTTGTCCACACGTAATTAACTCACAGAATAGCTCTGAGAGCCATATCTTCCGTTTTCCCCCCTCCCGCCGTTACCCTGATCTCTCGTTTTCAAACCCTCTGTCGGAGAAGAGTGGATGTTTCTTTTGAGTTATTAAAAAGGACTGGCTGTGGAAAATGGCAGGCATTATACTCCGAGCCCCCGTCGGCAGAATAGCCCACTATACGGAGTGACAGTTAGCGTGCCACAGAGCCACATGCGTTTCCGGCCTCTCTGCAGCCTGGCGACATTCGCTCTGCCCTGGGCTAGAGGCCCGAGTATGGCTCCTTTTGTTCGCCATCTCCAAAGCCTCGCTTTTCAGGCTCAAAACTGACTTTTAAAAGTGGCTTGGGGTCAAATTTAAAGGCATTGGGTTTTCAGGGAGGACGTGAATGGAAGAAATACTCCTTTGGGTCTGCAGGCCTGCGAACGTTTGTTCTCTATTGTAAGCGTTTGTAACAAAAAAGTTTGTGATGGTTTAAAATTTGGTGAAAAATGCTTAAACACTTTCAGACTTTATGGATTGTAGTTTATTCAATGTTTTGATTTAATTTTAGATTCGACCAAACATCGCACAGTATCTTATAATAAAGTTAATGTAATTAACGACAGCTGAGTTTATTTCATATATATATATATATATATACTGTATATATATATAATTAACCTTGGTAGCAGTTCGGTAAAAGCGTTACAAATTAAATGGTTAAGAAAAGTGAAGTTAGTTCTGAGAAAAGTTTGAGCGTTATTTGTTTGCTTGATTTGATATTTTCTATATAAAACAGTCAGACATTTTTGTTGCATCCAATCAATTACATAGGCTATAAATGGAGATAGAGATGAATGAAAATGGATCAGCAAATTTCAGTCTGACTTATTCACTCCTGTAAGATGTTCATTTAAATGAAACAAGGTGGAGGCAAAGCTATTCTAGCAATGATTTAATTCATCTCAGTGCATGTTTGACCCGTGTCTGCCCCTATCTAAACGCTTTGAATTATTGCTGCTTCAGAGTGTGTCTTTGAATGACATCTTAAATGGTATCCATCTTACCTCTATAATGAGCTGGAAGAGAGACAGAGATTGTGCAAATCACAATTACATGCTGTTATATTACATTAACTACAGCCTAGAATCAGACAATGTTCTGTTCCATTTGCAATGAGATTATTGGACAAAACTAGTCTTAGAAGAGAACCTAATATAGGACCACAAACTAGGAAACAACAGAATCCAGTTAAGACTAGAATGATTTTATACATGATGGCTAAGGGCCAGATTTACTAACAGATTTCACCATCGCAAACCCTCTTTTGGCGTTAAAAACTACTGTCAGGATTTACTTAAGACACGCAGTGAAAATTTAGTAGTGATTATAGGGTTAGGGTTATTTTTGTGGCAGCAAATGCATTTTTAGGAGTTTCCATCTTAGATTCACAATTCATGGGATGAGAGTATTTAAATTAATAATTTAAAGTAATTAAATAAAGTTTGTGCTATTCGATGGAAATTTGGGGTGTCCTTGGTAGATTGATGTGGTCATTATGGAAATGATACGGCTGCATCTGTGTTTTTAATCGTCGTCAGTAGATAACGTGCAGAACTTTCCACTACCATCGGCACTGTTTTTTGGAATTACGCTCTTACGCTAATTTGCCCTGTTTAGTAAATCTGGCCCTTAAACTGGAAAAGAAGAGACTTATATGGAAGAAAAATAACACTATGCAGAAGACTATACATGCTATATGCCAGAGTTTCTAAGTTTCAATTGAGTAAAATGGATCGCAGACAAATTGATCTAATGTACAAAAAAATCCAACGCATTCTCATCCTTGGGCGCCATCTTTTGACCATGCGTCTAAATCCGACGCACATGGCAACCTTTAGCGTCAGTTAAATGACGCGGGTAGGTTTAGGTCTGGGGTAGGGTTAGGGTTAGACCACTAGGAGGCGCGTCTCATATTGATGCTAAAGGGTGCCATGTGCGTCGGATGTTGACGCATGGTCAAAAGCGTCACTTAGATGACGCCTTGGGATGAGAACGGGCTGAAAAATCCCCTCATCTTTGAATTTCAAGGCAAGATTCCAAAGCATTTTCCATGTTCAGGCTAAACCATAAAATGTTTTTTTTTTTTTATTATTGCCTGCTTTTAAAGACCATTTTTGTGAACTTTTCGTGTTTAATAGCGTATACAGAGTTTAGTGCTGGAATAATAAATCAGAAGCAGGCTGTATGGCAGCAGTGTGCAAGGAGCGCCAATGAGCGCTCCTTTTGTTGTTTTGCACTGGATGAAACAGTAGCCGAAGACGGCACGGTATGCGATAGATGAAAATCCACTGTACTGCCTTGAGGGACCTGAGTGGTGCGAGAGCCAGGCGCTGGAGTTGAGAAGCTGTGGAGATGTGGTAGTGGTCTGAATGACTGATTGGCAAATCAACTGAAGACTAACCATTAAAATTGACTTGAAACTCTGTGTGGACAGAATACTAAGCTGATAGAAAGAAGTTGATGTTGAATCTCTTTAGTTTGATGAACAGCTAGAAATGATTCAGAGATATTTAAGGTGAAAATTTATATTATTTCATTATTTAACTTTCCTTCCAAACCTGTATGACTTTTAGGGAACAAAAAAGGTGGATTTTTAAAGAACACTCTGGCCATTCTAATTCATTAAAAATAAAAGTGGATGAGAACTGGATAGCTTTGTGTGTGGAACTGGTCAACGTCTCATTGGCATGTCAATGAGAGAAAAAGCAATATATTATTCGGTTATTTTGAGTCAATTTAAGACTAAATTTAAGTCTAAATGTTTAGCTGTTCTTTGTATGTTAATAAGAGAAATATATGGTAACACTCTGAATGATTATTTCCCAAATTTGACTGACTTACTGATTTTGAGAGTTTTATGGGGTTTCTGCATCCCTTTTAAAGCTTAAAGGAGTAGTTCACTTTTGAAAAAACTTTTGCTGATAATTTACTCACCCCCATGTCATCCAAGATGTCCATGTCTTTCTTTCTTCAGTCGAAAAGAAATTAAGGTTTTTGATGAAAACATTCCAGGATTTTCCTCCATATAATGCACTTCAGTGGGAACCAAACTGTTCAAGGTCCAAAAGACACTTTCAGTACAAACTGCAAACTGTTCAAAGGGCTTTAAACAATTCCAGATGACGAATAAGGGTCTTATCAAGTGAAACGATCGCTCATTTAATAAATAAATAACAAAGTTGAATTTTTATAAGCTCAAATGCTCTCCTTGCTCTGTTCTGTGACGCATGTTGTGACTCTCCTGTTCGAACTTGTTGATCAAAATGATCGAATCTTTTTGCAAGTCATTTGGTTCATTCAACGAACGAAACGAACAGAAAGATTTGTTTTTTTGTTTTGTTTTTGTTTTGTTTTTTTAATGAGCGATCGCTTCGATTTATAAGACCATCTGGAATCGTTTAAAGCCCTTTGCAGTTTGTACTGAAAGTGCCTTTTGGACCTTGAACCGTTTGGTTCCCACTGAAATGTATTATATGGAGAAAAATCCTGGAATGTTTTCATCAGAAACCTTAATTTCTTTTCAATGGAAGAAAGAAAGACATGGACATCTTGGATGACATGGGGATGAGTAAATTAAGTTTTTTGAAAAGTGAACTACTCCTTTAAACTCATAAGTCCACATTCATTTTGACTGCATGAAAAAGAGAAACCAGCACATTATTCAGAATTTCTTCGTTTTTTTAGTCCACGAACGAAAGAAAGTCATACAGGTTTGAATTGACATCCGATTTTCTTTTTCCCGACTACTTCCTTAAAGAGACTCCACACAATGTTTTAAAGAGATGATCGCCTAATCATACGTTGACATGTTCTTGACAGTCGTATATGTGAATAACCTGTTACAGTTCTTAATGCCTCTTTGCACACATTAACTGTCATATAAGATTTATCCAGCCATTTTGTAATCCCTGTCTGAAGCATTAACATTGCGCTGGCATATCGACGTCTTGCAGATCGGAGCCTACACACTCATCTTTGTTATTAGTGCTATTGAGGTAACGTCGCTTGACTGAGTGTTCATTGGTGCATGACAGAGCTTTGTGGGATGAACATACATCCACACCTCTCCCTAGACACTGGGCAGCAATCCAGCCTCACGATATCACAAAAGCGTACAGGAAGCAGCACTAAACTCTTTCTGTGGTCAGGTGTTTCCGTCGGACCCAACTAACCCTCACTTGCCCATAATGCAACCGCACCACAAAGACGGGATTAAAGCTAACAGGAGTTCGCAGCCATTATAGTCTTGAGGTCAAGAGGACGTGTTTAGGGGTTTGCTTGAGGTCAGTGAAAGAACCTTACCGGACAAGGATGGTGAAATGGTTTGTGTCAACAAGTATGCCACACGAGAGACAGTCTGAGTAGGTTCAAATGCAAGCCTGTTGTGATCTGTGACTGAAGAACGCCATTCATAGCACTCCTTCCTTTTGTGCAGCATTGATTTCCTGGAATTTAACGGCTTAACAATAAAACTTGAGGAGCGACATGTCTGTAGCTCTTAGATGTGTTTATTTCTTTTCTCACCCTCATTTTTTTGTTCCCTCAATCAATAAATATCTTTGTATAATGCACCATAGAAGACAATTTTTTTTTTTTGCAAACATGCCATGTAATCAATTGATTCTCAGATAACTGCAACACATTTTTTTTCCTGTCTGATACCTTTTTCTAAATTGATTAATCTTACTTAGCATTACATTGTGAAGAAACCGAACAATGATTCTACCCTATTCTTTCTTTGCAGGAGAAAAAGAACATTAAAAGTAAGCAATGGTTAACCCAAATTTTTGCTCTTCAACAAAAGGCAGCATGCTTTCTTCCTTTTTTTTTAGATTTGCACTCACCCTCTCTTGCTTGTGCCATACCTCACATTTGGTCATTAACCGACCATCTCTAACACTGCAGCTTTGTGCTTTGGCATCAAAGGTTAGGGGTTTCAGCATTTAGTGTTTGTGTGCACTTCAGCTTAGTGAACTTCATATTCAACCGTGTTTGTGCATTTTTGCGCATCTGATGGTTATCTGTTTGCTTGTCAAGTGTTTAAAAGTGTAAACAGAAAATATTTGTTCAGAAGACATTCTGAATAGAAGAGATATGAGATGTTAATGATACTTGTGGCTTTGTAGCTTTGAATCTAAAACGATCTCTTCTCTCAGCCCGGGAAAATAAGCAATCACTCATATGCGTGACAGAAAAAAGCCTTTAGAAAACGCTTACATACATGTTAAAGATGTAACTTAATATAGCAAATCCTCCAGTATGTCATTCTATAGGTGTTTCCCAAGGCCAAGTTGGGGATTAACAAGAAAAAATAAATAAATAAATAAACACACTTCGTACACTTTTGATAAAATGTAATAGGTTTTGTAGAGTCAGCTTGTTAGTTGAAACATACAGTAGAAACACGTTGCATACACAACACATGCACATCAGCGACACACACTCAGCCATTAGAGATGGATTCAGGGCAGTAGTTTAGGAGTTAGAAGTCACAAAACAGTAGAATTGCCCCACGTTTTCAAAGCATGATTCTTTTTAGAGCTCACATTATTTATTCTGTTTAATTTGTGTTTTAGCTTTAAGTGTTGTTGTTTGTGTATGTATATTTCCATTTTTGCGTTATGTGGTATGTGTTGACCATGAAGTCACAGTGAAAAAGAAAACAATGCACGAAGCCGAACATAAATATTTCAAAGGCTTTATCTGACTCTCGCCATTCCAGTGGCAATTTCATGAGACACATACCACAATACATTTTTAGTGTCAATACTTCAGTTTACTTTTTCTCAGCTGTTCGAAGCCAAGCAACACCATTAATGTCCCACCTGTTCTGTTTCCCTCTCTCCGTTTCCTCCAGACACTCGGCCCCTGCCTGACGTAGCCATGACGGGTAAATGCACGCGGGAGTGTGACGAATACGGCCACTCGGATGCCTGCTGGATGCCTGTGCGCACCTCGCCTGAACGGAGGCCCAAGGCCACCCCTCCCAAACTCTCCACCTTCATGACCTCCCCCGGGGGCAGCGTTCCCGAACAGCCCGGCAGCCAGGAGGCGCTAGCTGTTGCCAACGGCGACCCCTCGCACCTGCTGGGCGACCGTAACCGCAATCTCCTTAACAAGAAGATGGCCTCCTCCTCCTCATCCTACGACGCGTTTAGCTCAGCTGGATTTTCCGCCAGCCAGGAAACATCTCGCCCCATCGAGGAGATTCCGCTAGCGCCCACAGGTGAATACAAGCCGACGCAATGCGGAACTCTCACCAGGCGGGAAGTTTACCTGTAAACGACACACACACACACACAGCGGCCGCGAAGGGACGATGACAGTGACTCAGCATGGTTAGAGATGCTGTTAGCAAACCAAACCCTAAAACAAAAGCAACGTGGATTTTCCTCACACCGCTCGCACATCTAGTGCGGCGCTACTTTTCGAACCTAAATTGAGTAAAAACCGTGGAATTACATGTTGTAAATGTGCGTGAGGAGGATGAGATGGAGGAGGGGGAAGTGGCTGAGGTGGAGAGAGAGGAATGCCGGTGGATAAGTGCTACTTTGCTGCTAGCGTATCGGGCCCCGTAGACTTCCCCAAAGTGCTGCCTGGTTTCTGTAGACTCTTTATAATCATGCATGCATCATCTAACCCCTTAAGAGTGTGTGTCCCTTGAGGCGGACCTGGACTATACCTTTTTGTCTTTGTTTTTATAACTGTTGCTATAGCTATGGGAACTGATAAGACTGGTTCTGTCTTAATCCGTTTTTTTTTTGTTTTTTTTTCGGGGGTGGGCGGTGAGTGTTTTTACGTGGATGTATTATGTCCATATGCAATCAGTCCATGGACTGAACTGTCCGCTCTGGACGACGACTCACGTTAACAAAGAAGAAGAAAAAAAAAGAAAGGCCAATGATAAACGAAAATCATCGCACGATGATCAGTGATGGTGTAACCAGACGATGTCGGAGCTCTTCGTATGTCGTCATTGACTTAAGCATTTTACAATGGTTTGTAGATACTCAAATGGCGCAAGTGAACGGCGTACGCACTGTACAGCGCGAGAAGCAAGTTTACCTGTGTGCCTATCAAACTCATGTACACATGAAGGAACACAAGCATACACGTTTTTCTTTGTCGTGTGGGTATTGTATTGTACACATTATATATATATTTTATATATATATATATACTGTAAACATACTCTGGACACACACTTCGAAATCATGAGTGACCCATTCCATCATGCTCCTACACACCTTTGGAAGCAGAAGGAGATGCTTTAAATCCCAGATATTGACAATGAATTGCCTGAATGTCACGAGTTTGTGTAATTGTGGTCCATCCCTCTCTTGATGTGTGAAACTATGCTGAATTTACTCTTTTGTGGTCTCAAGAAGGCCTCCCGGCGCGCACACACACACATTTGCAAACACACACACAAAAGATCTGCACATTGTACATACACATTATAATTAACACATAAATTCACAGGAACTCTGTTTGGATATGCTGCTGGGGTGAATTAGTTTAATAATATTGCCCTGCTGAAGAGCTTGGGCTGGCCCTGTGTAACATTCCTAGTATATGAATGTTAAATAGAGCAATAAACTCATTCAACAGATTCACTCTCAATCTCACACACTTCAGAAGTGTAATCAAGGATGAGAACTTGTGTCCCTCGTGTAGCGGTCAGAGTGAACCGACTACTTGTACAATCACATTCAAAGTTTGGCGACTACAGGCGCGACAGGAGCGATTGCAATGCGACGCACGATGCCGCTGTATAACCAAAGTATCGGGAACAACATGACGTGGTGTCTCAGAGAGCTGGGACAGGAAAGATCCTTTTTAGGTCACATGTTGCTTTAATAACCATCACACATGTTTTTTTTGTGCAATGTGAGGAAACTATACGTGCACATTTATACATGCATTATGGGCCTATCCCAAACGATTTTCAAGAGGAGGAGTATACTTAGGAGGCATCATGCTTTTAAAAATGGAGGTAAATTATTCAGATGCAAATTGTGTTTTTTTTTTTTTTATGTTAATGATTCCTTGAGTTTGAACGGACTGCCTTTTTCGCAGCTTCCAGATCTGTAGTCTGTATGTACTACTCGTGTTTAAAAGAAGTGCTCTGATGCTTACAAACTGTATACATAGATATGTACTTTTTATTGCACGTTTAAAGGGAATCTACACTTACTATGAAAAAGAAAAAAAAAAGTGTACAGATATCATACCCTGTGTACATGAAAGTCCACTGCTTGCGTTTGTTACAAACAGGCACTAGACATTTTAGTATGACTATGTATATTGATTTGACGAGGAGGAAGAATCATACACATTCGTGATTCACTGATTTATTTAGCATCACATTATCCGTTGCTCATTTATCTGATTTAATCATATATTTTTTATAATAACGCATGTACTTTTATCCATTGGTTCTGTAATAATTATATTCTTTTCACAAACACACACACACACAAAAACATACCTTTCATTATGTAGAAAATGAGTTGATTACAAAACAATTCAAACAACTCACATTCACTCACAAGTCTCCGTTCTATTATTTTTTTTTTTCAAATATCTGCTCATAATGATGCCCTCTTCAGATCTCATCAGTCATATATCCCCCTTCCTTCCCAGTGCCACTTTGTATATGTAGTGCTTCTGTAAAACAAAAAAAGAAAAACAAAAAAACAATCAAAACAAAACTATAGATTGAATGCAAAATATGCAACTGTGCCTTTTTATACCGTTATTGGTATGACTCGTTGGTTTTAACCAGTATGAAACCAATTGTACTGAGATGCTTTCTAAAAGTGGAGAAAGAGTAATTTATGCTGAAACTACAGTCCTGGCAATTTTACTATGATAGACTTTCAAAAAACAAAAGCTTTTATCTTGTGGCTTCTTTAAGTAAGCTCAGTCGAACTTTGTCAAGTATATTGATGAGTACCAACTGTACATGTCATAGGTGATACCCTGGTATATTCATCCATTTCAAAGTTAGCATGGTCACGCGTCCAAACTGTGATTTTTACAGCAAGGATATCTTTAGTCAGGAAAGCGACTCTGGAAAGGATCGGTCATTACACAATGCCGCGATGGCGGCACAGCAAAACAGAGAAAATGCACAGTATCCATTAGGGATGGGGCAAACGTGCTTTGAGACGTTCTGCACTTTTCATGATATGAGAAGGTAGAAGGAAAACAAAGCTCCAAAGGTTTTTGAAAGGGACACACGCCTCAGAGGACCATAGAGTAGATATATCAGCTGATTCCTATCAATAGGAGTATATGGCAGTCTAAAAAAGAAACCTGAGGAGGGTGACACCTACAGCCTCCACCTTACTTCCAAAAATACATATGACGGTGTTGTTAACGTGATGAATTTGCTTTCTTTAATTGTCGTTTGCACTCTGAGGTGTGTGTTCCTTAAGCTGACAACTTAGAAGATATAAGACTTAAGTTGTAGCACTTAGGTCATAGGACACATCACAGATAATGAACAAAAAAAAAATGAATTGTAATTTTAATCATACTCTCTTTGTCCTTTGACTTGGATGTTGATGTAGAATTGAGGATTGATTTTAATCATTGTTTTATTAGGAGTCACTATGCACGCAGCTTAGCTGAACATGGCAAATGTACTGAGCGCAAGCCCACCTCTATTTATGATCTATTTTACATATTTTTTGCTTTTGTACAGGTATTTCTGTAAATAAATTGCTTGTCATTTTTGTCTCTGCAGAAATTAAAATATACCATGATACAACCAGTGGCTGGATTTCTTTTTAGTTGTCTTTTGGGATGTTCCACGTAGTCATTACATTTGTCAAATTATACACTGAATATGTAATGCATGCAAACAAACTATCAAAGTAATTAATAAATAAATAAATACACTTTTTTTTTTTTTTTGGTTAACAAATGACTGGCATTAATACAGTTTACACTGATCAAGGGAGACAGTAACATTATACCTAGCAACTACAGACTGGCAAACAACATACCTTTAAGTGAAGCCTGAAGTTGAGGGCAAACAGGCTCCTTTGACATCTGTTAGTAGAATCCAGTCGAGTTTTGAAAGGATTAGAGTGCAGATACTGTCATTCCATTTTCCCAAATGCTGTTAAAACTTTCATTGAGCATCAATCATCAATCAGAGATAATCATAGCACAGTTTAGTTTTAATGAATTCCTAAACAGAATCAGATTCAGTGCATTAAAACACTGTCTAGACTCTGATATAGAACACTCAAAGCCACAGTTCACATTGACAATCAGTGCTTCAGAAACTCATCCATAAGATCTAGTAAAGTGTGTGTATTACATTACAAATCAGCACCATATTTTTACATCATAAATGTATTGTAATCTCACTACAACGTAATAAAAAAGTTTCTCTGTGACATTTTCAGTGTTTTAATTAAATTTGAATCAATTTTAAACTCTGTGCCGAGACATATTTAGACGACTTGTTTAGATTATTACGTCCGTGTCTGGCCTAGAGTGATAATGTGGTTTCGCTCTTTCTTTTTTTTCTCTCTCTTTCTTTGAAAAATGGGCCAAATGAGGAACATTCATTTCAATTGCATATTTCTGGAGTGAAAGTCAAGATGAAACTAAATGTCACAATGAATGCAAGTGGAATTGTGTTAATGCACTGTCCAGCATTCAAATGAATTATCAATTATGTGAATTATAATTATATACGTGTTATGTACATTGTACTTGACTGCATTCAATTATGCAAAAAAGGTTGTTTTATTCAGAAAATATTTAATTCACCAGTAAAAATATGACAATTAAAATAAAATACAAATAAAAGGCTTATGATTTAAGCTTCAGTCTGGGTGCACTGTAAAAAAACAGGAATTATTTTTGTCTCTGTGGTTAACAAGGACACTGATGACACAACCCTTGAGATTTGTTTAAAAAATGCATTATTTACCCTGTGCCCTAGAGATTTAGATGACTTCTACTTTTGCAGAAGGGTGCCTAAACTCCCCAGAGTTCACTGCTGTTCCCTGCACAGCCTCATAAAGTCCCACAGCCAGTGTGATGGATAGAGCATTCACAGAGGACTGACCCTGGATCAGCAGCTCTCAGCTGCTGCAGAAATCTAACACGACCCTTGAGGAATGAGAGCACCATTACACCCCAAAAAACTCTCTAACTTCTTTTGGACTCAATAATATAAACTTGTCCCTAACCTTTTTGACCATGTTTGACCATGATTTATACGATGCTCCAAATACAGACTTCCAGGGAGTAAAAACAATAAATAATAGTTGTAAAATTTGTGAAGACCTTCACCAACAGGAATCCATTGGACTCACCTGCATTCTGAAATTTGGTTTGCAAATATGAAGGCAGGGAAGGACTCCTCATTCTGAATGAGAGCAAACCATGCATATATGTTTGTTCCCCATCTCAGTAGCACATAATGTATCTTCATCAAGATCAGATGTTAGGGTGTGGTAAAGGGGAGACATTGAAAGAAATGGAGATCCAGCGAGAGAGAGAGAGTCGATACTCAGCATGGGTTATTAATAATGTCATTGATCAGCTCTCACTGCAGTTCTGCTCAAGATGGTGTTTTGAAATGAATTTCCCTGTCATATTTAACCCTGCCTTTGTCAGCCACTGATTGAGAATTATATGAACCACTGAGGCAATGGCAAAACATTTGGGCATAGCCTACAATGATTCAATACAGAGTTATGTTTACCTGATTTACTACTTTCTAATGTTCTCCTCTGTATAACAGGGAGTTCAATCAAAAGCTGTTAGCACTTTGTACAATAGATTGTTCTCCCTTATTATGAAGTGAAATAATTAAATCACCATTTCAAGCGCAAGTTTAAAAAGATGCCTGAACCTGAAACTGTGAAGATTCTATCCACCATTTATTTGTTGGAATAAAGCACCCCTGGGATATGTTGCTAGAGCATATTATGTTGTATTTGAATCAAGGGTAAACATCCAAAAGGAGGCATGCCGGTAACACTTTATTTCGACATTCTACGAATTAAGTAACTTTGAAACTGCATGTTAACTAACTAATGAGAGTTAGACCCCGTCCATAATACTGCGTTTTCATTTAAAAACGGAGAATTAAAACGAATACGATTTCCAACCACAGCAGTGTTTTATCTGCATATTAGAATTGATCTCCATCCACATTAAAACGTCTGAAAACACGGATCACGTGACCAATCACCAACACTGGGTATGCCAGTGTAAAAAGGAAACGGATTGACTATTCCTCAGATTTAATGAAAAAGAAAGTAACATTAGCTACCTCTGGAAAGATTAGAAATGTCGAAGACCAGAGATTTATTTTCATGGGCCGACGACGAGGTTGTTTTTGCATGTTTTCTTATGGGGACGGGTCATGTGATGGGTGGCTGACGAATCAGGGAAGGATACGTCACGACTGATGACACCCAATCATGGAGCCGAGCGTGAGCCTCTGAGTCATCGTTTCTAAAGTGCTCCATTTTGTCCCGTCTTCACTAAAACGTAGCAAAAGATCACTATTTTTAAACGAAAACGCAGTAGTGTGGACGGGGCTTTAGTTGACATGTAGCTGCAGAGTTACTTATAGTTAGTAGAAAGTCTTAAGTGGACTATCAAAATAAAGTGTAACTGGCATGCCTTATATGTACACAACATTATGGGCCTGGTCGAATCACAGCTGCATTGATATTTACACTAATAGCATGATTGTAAATGTGAGTTCAATAAACAATAAATTATTGCTGACTATTGACTAAATTACAAATTAAGTTATACATTTAAAAAATACATTTTCAAATGAAGTCCACTTCACCAAGGATAATACTTCTAAACAATGTAAGTCATAACAGGATTTGTTTACTGCACAACACCAGAAACACACAGTAGTGTCAAAATTATTCTCAATTATTCTATTATTATTCCAAAATTGATGAGTAATTTTTGAACAAAACAGTGAGTGAATAATTCAATGACTCACTCAAAAAGCGCTCAATTGTTTATTCCTGAATTAGTCAGTGTTTTGACTGAATAATTAGAGCAAATGGCTCAGAGACATTTACTGTCATAGCAATGCAAAAAAAAAAAAAAAAGAAAAAAAAAGTCACTGAACAATTCTAACCCAATATCAATGCAGCACTTTACCAGGTGAGCTACCCAGTTTACTATTACAGAAAAGCTATACATATGGAGCTGTATGTGATGCAAATGTCAATATGTATGTTTACAAATAATGCAAATAATGTTAAAAAAAGAAAATAAAGAGTTGTCAGGTCATAGCATAGTATTGAGTATTGTGAAAAGAAGATTAATGTAAAGAAAATAGTATTGTGATAATAAATAATTAGTAAATAATGTGCCCAGGATTCACAATTTGTGTGAAAGGACTAAAAGTTTATTGTAATTGCTGGTCATTTCAGCTGAAAACGGCAGTAAATTCATTTTTGAGTTTTGTAAAAATGTTGTTAAAGACACATTTTTCTAATGAGCAACAAGCAAATTGATACAAACACTGAAATATCCCAGTTCTGATGGAATGATGTTTTATAACCCCAAGCCCAAATGGATAATACTCTGGATGGTAATCCAAACAGGAGCTAAATTTGATCGCTTTCAGACAGTTTGAGTCCTCAAAACTGATGGCAGACCAATATTGGCCAATTCAATAGTTCTCTTGCAGCTGCGGATATATATTCTTCCTTTTTCATGTCATGTGGTTAAGAACTGCCAGTGTGATCCATCGAGGTGGAGCTCTGGGCCTCAGCACTCATGTCCATAATCTGTCCCTTCCCTCACCAGCCCATTAATCACTTTATATTTTGTCAGACTGAACTGAAACCCTGTGATTTAACTATGTGAGAGTCTGGGTATTTGTAAATGTGATGGAACAGTGACAGGTAAAAGACAACTCTAGTGTCTGCTTTATCAAGTAAGTCAGCATTTACTCCAGACTATGGTCAAAGTGCACCACCCCTACGCTGATAGATTAGCAACTATGAGACACAGCGAGTGACATGCTGCCCACAAACATATTCAATAGCTAAGTTAATAAACAGGAACCGTCTGTTTATGATTGTATTGTCCCAATGGTAACAATTGTATTATGGTATCACTTTATAATAACAGCGTGCTTTTAATCAGTAGTTAAGCAATAGTTAATTCCTAATTTATAAACTATTACAGCCCATTCTCACCCCCAAGGCGTCACTTAACTGACGCCTTGGGAAGCATTTGGACATGCTTCAATATCTGACGCTTTAGGCGCCCTTTAGCGTCAGTTAGATGACGCCCTAGGATCGCGTGTACCCTACCCCCACCCCACACCTAAACCTAACCGCGTCCTCTAACTGACGCTTTCCTTTAGCGTCAGTTAGATGACGCCGTAGGGTCGCGTCATGTAAGTGACGCTAAAGGGCGCCTAAAACGTCAAATATTGAAGCATGGTCAAAGGTGACGCCTTGGGGTGAGAATGCGTTGAGTATTAATAGACATTAATAGACATCTATGAATGATTTATGCTTGATTTATAAGCATAGCCATAATGTGTCTAATAATCGTATTTTCATACTTTATTTATTAACATTTCTAAATTAAGTATTACATTATTTACAAACCAGTAGGAGTTGTCAGTGATTCATGAAATCATTTAGAAAGAGCAAGTGATCAATAAACTATTTAAATGTATATTTACAAAACATATTATTTAGACATAGTTATAGTTACTCAGTGTGTTAATAAATGCTTCAGTAACAT